TTATCATCATAAAGATTAAGATGTAAAAGTAATGACCGTTTACATTCGTCACAGATTTACAAACGTCACAAACAAAATATGTTGTTATCGTAATAGTCTTCGAGTTTTGACTTTATACTGAGATATATTTATTCCTGTAGCCTATCATTTAAAAAAAAAAAGTGTTGGGAAATAAAAGTTATTATTTGCCCTTAATCGTATTTTTAGTTCACTTTTACTGTTAGCACCTGTTAGCAAAACGCCTACTGAATTCTTTATATAAGGGATGTTTTTAAAGAGACTTTTCACTGGTGTCACACCCAGTATGAGTTCATGTTGTTTGTGCTGTAAACATTGCACAGCTCGTGTGTCGTCTGAGTACTCAAAATATAGGCTACTCAAAGATGAACATTTCAAATGACTAATATATCAAAAAGCTCATCACTGAAGACAAATCAGGTTATAAATATGTTTCAACCAACAAGTGAAATACAGAAATGTTTTGTGTTGGTTTGCAGCATCACCACATCTTTAAGCCAACAGTATGTAAGCGGAGAAAACACCCGCTTGTGTAATTGATCCAGTATTGCCAGTGTGGACTATTATTGACTTTGGTACTGTTTGATTAACCATGTCCACACAAGAGACAGAATTACCCGACAGTCAGGAGAGGGTGGGTTTGAAGAGAAAACTGACGGGTCCCCCGAGACTTTTGCTGGGGAAGTCAAAATCAAGGGAGAAACTTGAAGGTAAATCTCAGAGAAGGCAAAGACAAGCTAAAAGTTGTGATGGCACAGCAGAGAATAATTATCAAGAAAATGATGGAAATGAATCCTCACTTATTACCCACCACAGCCCTCAAAAACCCTCAGAGGAGAAGGAAACCCAGCCAGGTGCTCCAGGAGATGCCTCAGGAATTCTTGTAACATTGGAGCAGAGTGAAAGCAAAAATGAATATATGGAAAGTAAAGCAAAAATAACCAGAAGCACTTCAAAAACATCCATTAAAAGGGCATTTTCCTCACTCCTCAGGTGTGGAAAGAGGAAGGAATCAGATAGAACAGAAAACGAGACTTTGAATCCTTTGAAAAACAGAAACAAAACTCAACACAATATGTGTAACTCCATGGATGCAAACAAGGAAGTTCCCAATGGGAAAAGTAAAACTAGGGCTTTCTTCTCAGTGTGGCCCCTTTCTAAGAGATCAGAGATCCAAGAGACCACATCCAATATCATTCTAGGAAGGGGATGTAGAGAGCAAGACAATAGCATGGTTTTTCAGGAGATAACGGCACCAAAAGGTTTGACATTTAAAAAGATCTACCACATCTTTCCAAGAAGGAAGAAAGCACCTCCTATTGATCAGTTCGAGTGTAATGCTTCCGGTGCATCACAAATAGTAGCTGATCAATCACCTGCAGCTGCTTTGAACATTTCCAGTATCACGAAAGAAGAGAACCAAACGGAAGAACAAGACATAAAAGCGGAAAGCGTTCCAGAGACATTTACATTCAGTGCAGAAGTGAGCGTTAACAGAAACATTGATGCTGACCACATGGATGTGAAGGAAATACATCCTGACCAAGATGTTAGTTTGAATGAAGAAGAAAAGCAGGTGTTAAAATCTAGTGTTTTGGATTCTGAGGTTCCTCCACTGTGTTGCAGTGGCCGTAATTTCGACTCTGAGTTTCCAGGCACATCATCAGTTGGTGATCTGCTAGTCTTAATTGAGAAGCCTATTAAAACTTGTGTCAAATGCAGGCCAGTGATTACTATAGAACATGCATACTCATCAGAGGAAGAGAACATGAATGAGGCACCATATTTTGATGGTCTTACCATGAATGGGTCCTGGCAACATTTAAGAATAAACAGCCTAACAAACAACACACTACATCCTTCTGACGTAAATGCGTCTCCTGAACTGGACCACATCCGGTATAATGAGCCCTTACTGATTCAGACGGCAGTTTCTATGGTGCAAGCAGCCATTCGTGGTGCTGTGGAGCAACTCACAATCGAGCAGCAGCATAATCAGATAAGTTTGGACCATGTGTAAACACACATTCATATTCTTTATTCAGCAAATGTGTTCATGTTTCTGTAAGATGGTATAAATAAAGCTGTGTATAACAGATGAAAAAAAGAGAAGAGGAATTTCATGTGATTAAATGTCAGATGACATTTCAGTCTGTATAAACATTGGGAATGTTTGTAATGATAATTGTAATTATTGATGTCAGATTGTGGAAAAGTTTGTAATTTTATGTAATTTTAATGCTGTAAATTTGTACTTGCATGATTAACCTCATATTTTCATTAATGTTACTTTCTATTGTTCATATTTTTTATACTGCAATATTATTTCGCATGTCACTGCAGTCTAGTTTCTATAGCCATGAATATCCCACACATGACTCTGAGAAGGCACTGAGCCACATGCTTATGATATGTTGTGTGAAACACTTCCGTCAACATTTAGGGCAACGTTTTTATGAAAATAAGTGGTCTGAGAACCCAGGTGTGTGCATTGGATGTTTTTTTCGTAGCCTATTTAAATGAGGTCCTGACTGAAGCCTACAGTGAAATTGTTAGATGTTATGTTAAGTGACTCTATACTGTACATAACAAGCTTGGGAGTAATGCTTAAAGATAATGATTACACAGAGTTGGCAGCAGAGATCATGTTTGCTTTTGTGCCTACATGCTACTCTCTTGTGGCAATAAGATGTTACTACAAGACGGTCAGTTAACAGTTGTCAGTTAGGATAGTTTAGCCAAAACGTAAATTGTGTCATCATTTACTCACCCCCATGTTATTACAAACCTGTATGACTTTATTCCTTCTGCAAAACACAAAAGAGGATAATTTGAAGAATGTTATTGTCCATACAATGAAAGTCAATGCGGACCAAAACAACAATGAACGCCACTGGTTTTCATTGTATAGACCAGGGGTGGCGAACGTCGGTCCTGGAGAGCCGCAGCCCTGCAGAGTTTTGCTTCAACCCTAATCAAACACACCTGAATAAGCTAATCAAGGTCTGAAGGGTTACTAGAAAGCTACAGGCAGGTGAGTTTTAATTAGGGTTGGAGCTGTACTCTGCAGGGCTGCGGCTCTCCAGGACCGGAGTTTGCCACTGCTGGTATAGACCAAAAAAAATGAAAAATTTTTCAAAATATCATGTTTTGCTTTCTAAGCTGTATAAAATCATACAGCAGGTTTGGAATGACGCGAGGGTGAGTAAATGACAGAATTTTCATTTGCGGTGAACAATCCCCAGTCAGTGCCAATGAAACCAATGACAAGTGACCAAAGCAGAAGCACTATAAAACACAGTTTATTCAATGTGCCGTTTATTTAAAAAAATACCCAAACACATTATCTCACAGTGGCACTCAGTGCTGATGATGAATAAAATCGAAAGGGACTGTTTAAATGTACTACACAAGTCACACAAATAACACAAATGCAAGTTTTGCTGATTTAATATACTCATCACAGTATACCAGCCTCAATTATTCAATATAACTGCAAAAATTGGTGCTTTGACAGTTCAAATACAGCACAAAGAAAGTTTACCATCAGTGATGTCTTGAAATTGATAAATCATTCTAAATAAAACATTTTGTCATGTCTCAGCTTTTGAAAATGACCTGTCTGCTTTTGAAACATGACTGAATGTGCCATTGCTGTGTTTGACAAGAAGTGTTATATTAGACATTTACAGTGGCATTGTCCCATCTTTGTAGTTATGTCTCGGTTTATGTAGTAAGACTGTTAGCAAACTTGGATTATACTCTGTGTTTGTGAAAGTCTTTCAACATATCAAAAAGCTTTTAGAAAAGCACACATTCATTTGAAAGATTATTCTAATTGTGTAGATGTCTTGGACAACTTTGCACAAATAGGCACTGTTCACTGTTAACTTGAAATTGAAAAACAGCTGGATTTGGTTCAACTGGCTGAGCAATAGTTTAAGTGCTTTTCTTTTAAGTGCTTCATCTACAGAGATGTTTGGCAAAAATATTCTAAGGCACTGAACCAGTTTTGGATAGGAAATTCGATTTAGGGAAGAAATAATTTAGAATCTACGCTCAGTCAGTTTCACTCATTAGGCCACAACCCCAAAATAAACAAAAATAATTACATTATTAGCTTAAGCAGGCCTCTGAAAATAAATATTTTGATTGTGGTCAAATGTGGCACTTAATAGTGCTATTTGAATTTCACACGCATGTGCTTGTCAACCTAATACTTCCTTTCAATATATAATTGATCCAACAATGTGTTCAGTCATCCAAGAGTCAGCAACATCATTATACAACAACACTACAATCATCAACACTAAGTTTTAAACAAAATTATTGTATGTTTTAACACTGACAAGGACTTTTGTGACAGGACAGAAATGCTGAGGCAGAAAACAAAATGTGTTAAAGAAAAATTCTGGGTTTAATAAAAGTTCAGCTCAATCAACATCATTTGAAGAATAATGTTGATTAACACAAAGCAATTTTGACAATTTTGACGTTTTGTTAAAAAAGCAAAAACTGAGGTTATGATGAGGCACACTGGAATGTAAGTGAATGGGGACAAATTTTGGATAATTAAAAGCAGAAACATGACTCTTAACATTTTATAAAAACACTTATACATTATTCTGTTAAAAAATTATGTATTATGTCACAAGCACTGTACGTATACTTCAGCGTATATGTGTAAAAACCGAAGTATACTTTGGGCTTTATGTTGTCATGGAAGTTGTAAAATTAGATACAACTTTACACAGAAAAGGTAAGAGATTTTTTTTCCCCAAATTAAAATCATGTTAACATATTTTGTTTATGTCTTATTGAAACAGTGAGTATTTTAATGTTTATGGATTGGCTCCATTCACTTCTACTGTAAATGCCTCACTGTAACAGATTTTTGCTCTTTTTTTTAAAGAAAAGGAGGGACAGGTGGAAATTATTTTTTGTTGTAATCAACAAATGCTGTTGACTGAGCTTAACTTGTACTAAATCCAGAATATTCCTTTAACAGACATTGTGTGTTTGCATGAATATAATTATGTCAAACACTACGTCATTCCACAGTCACTGCGTCCACGCTCTCCTGAGAGACCTCAGAGTCCAGTGAGTAGCAGGAGCTGCCGTTATCCTGAGTGTCCTTGGCTGCCTCCTCTCCTGTGGCTGTGGTAATATCTGGCTGGCCCTCACAGCCATGGAGCAGCTGCCCGCAGAAGCGGCTATAGCGATGGTATCGCAGCGGCTTGCCCACATGTGCGAACATGTGCTCCTGCAGCTGGCTCTTCTGCGAGAAGCGAAGGTTACAGACGGCACAGGCCATCTTTCGTTTTCGCGTGAAGGCTGCCAACGGGCTGCCGCTCCGTCCAGTCCCACTACCTCGCCTGAGTTCCACGGCCAGCTCATCTGCCAGGGCCTGACTCTGCCGTAAGGCCTCCTCCAGACTGCCAGAGTCTATGCGCTCATTGTGAGGCCGCCTCTCCTCTAGGGACTTGTGCTCCCCGGTTTTGTCCTCTGAAGGGCCTTCCATCAGACCACTAGGCTCAAGTGCACAGGCTGCATGGATAAATAGGTGCTCTTGTAGGCCTTCAGGCGACAGACAGCGTTCACCGCACCGGGGGCATAAAAGCGCTAGAGGACCATCTTTGAATAGACCCACTTGACAGGGGCTCACCTGAGCTGGGGAGAGAGAGCAAGGCTCTTTGTCGCCTTCCTGTTGTTCTTCCTGCTCTACCCTTTCCTGTTTGATCCGTGCCAAAATGTCAGAGTCGTCCCCCAAGGCCACTGAGGATGCGGCGTGGAAGCTTTGAGGCTGTCGCTCAGACGTAATGCCCTCTAGCCCTACAGCGAGAGCTAAACGGCCATGTGTGCGATCGGCCCTAGTGCTGGAGCGGCCATCCTCAGGGTCCCGTGAACCACCAGCCTTCAGGCCCGAGTTCTCTTTACTGGCCAACTGTGAAGAGATCTGGATGCCATACAGGTTGGACATACGGATGGGCTCAGAGGATGCATCGGGGCCACCCTCACCTGTTTTGCGGCAGAGCTGGTACGCATGGAGGAACTTGATACCTTCTTGAAGTCTGCCCTGGTCTACAGGTTGTTTGGGACCCATGCCTGTGTACATGATGTGTAACAGGTAGCTGAAGACATCTGGTTGAATATCTGTGGGCTGGATCTTGATGCACTCACTGAAAAAGCAGGAAAGTCATCAAAAATACAATCAGCAATTTATTAATCATGCAAAGTATGGTTAAGAACAGTCATTTTTTTTCTATATTTGGCATTATTATTAATATGCAACTTTTAATATTTATCAATCAAGCTACCTTGACTTCCTCCCCATGCTTGTTTGATTATCAGAGTATGTAAGCATGATAGGTGACCCTTCAGTTCAGTACCATTATGTTGGTACACTTCAAGAAACATTCACTAACCTGGACTGGTGGATGAAGATCATTTTGAAGTAGTTTGAGAAGGCAGCAAGGACTGCACGATGAGCCTTGAAGTATACGTTACCAATGGCAACAGTGCAGTCACACAGAAAGCCAAACTCCCTTTGGACGTTCAGCTGCTGCAGAAGGAACAGACTGTGGCCAGACACGTCCATCTCAACCTGTTACATAAAACATACATACATGCACAGAAGACAAATGTCATATAAATTCTTATGCATAAATTGAATAGCCTACTCCTGTATGTTAAGCAGGTATTAATAATACTAGCATTTACCTATATCATGTTTTGTTCAGGTGAAATACAGCTAATTTAAGAAAAACTTATTGATCTTAATTAATATTGTATATTTGAAAAAATGTATGTGATATTTTAAAAGAAATTGCACAAAAAATGTTTTCACAATGCATGAAACCACTATGAATACCAAGGCATATACTTTTATACTAGATTTCTCCTTTTTGTCTTCTCAGACATTCTTATTTTTTTCTTGTCCTAAATGTCTCTCCACATGATGGACCAAGTGCCAGAATCAACCAATGAAGTGAGTCTCACTGAAGAGCCATAGTTGTAAGAGTAACTGGCGACCTCTATCGATCAAAATAGCCATAATATTTAAAACATTTTTGAGAATACCCAGCTGTTTACATCTGGATAGGATTGCCATTTGTTTTTGTTTTTTTGTTTTTTTTACAGTGAAACCTACTATGACAGTGCTTTGGTAAATGACATTCTTACATTTCTCATAAAAACATGATTCGGAAATGTTTTTCTTAATGTATATCTTAATCTACAGCAGAATGTCATATTGTATCATTGTATGAATTTTTTCTTTCCTTAATATGAACGGAGAAACAGCAACGACTGGCTTGTATATAATGTTTACAGTGCAACATTTTAAAATCTTTGTATGTCGACCTGACCAGACAATACCTGACAGCGATTTCTTAAAATCATTACACAAAAGGACATTTACAAACAGCAATTGTTCGTCGCGTAGGAAAATGTCATGAATGAATGGATAATACACAAAAGAGCGTGTATGAGCTATTTAGTTCATGCTTGTGTAATATGCATGTTCAGACTCCCAGTAGATTTGTCCGCGACAGAATCATAATTTTCACACGTCTGGTCTACACCGATCAAGTGTTGTCGAAGAAACGGCGTACGTTTTCATGCACCTTGGCCAACAAAACATGCATGCACCAACGCACAGACATAATGCATTCACACAGTCCCAAAAAATGCGTTCTTACCAACTATACGAGAGAAACGGATAATAATTTCGTGTTTGTTGCAGCAGAAAAATTCTCGCGGTTCTTCCTAAGCGATTGACGGCTTAGCTTGTAATCCGTCACGTGACCGTACTGTACATTAGCATATCCGGAAGCACACATATTGGAAACATACAATGCAAACGCTTTGCTCGTATACATGCTCGTTCGTTGCGTTTTTGTTCTTTTGTGTCGAAGGACGACTAAGGCGCACATATACAAATAGACTATGCAGTTATATCTAGTGGAAAAGTCGCTAAACCGAAATGCATGACGTATGACAACTTGCATAGACGAGAGAGCAAAGCCAGTTTTGCAAAAGGGTCTGACAGACCTTCTGAGGCGCTCATGAATTTGTTTTATTGTAACACACCTATGTAGGAACACCTCTAACAATTTGAACACTTGAAAAATAGTGTGTCATTATTATGGTGTGGATTTACGATTAGTGTTTGTGTAGAGGGTAATAGCATGTGATGGTAGGCTAATTACCTTTTTTACTTTTTAAATAATTCTTGGACACAAGTTAGCAAGTAGTCAACTGACTGAATGTATAAAACATTTATTTTTTATTAAAAAAAATTGTATAATTGAGAATTGCAATTATGTAAAAAAATAACATTTTAAACTAAAACATGTTAATGACCTATAAAAGCTGTGATAATGTAAAAAAATATCGTACAAAAATAGTGATATTTCTGATGTTTACATAAGAAATTACAATTCTCAACAACCCTTTTTTTTTTTGCAGAAATTCAGCACTCTAAAATGCTTGGCATGATGGTAATGCCAGCAATACAGAGGAAAGCGATATTTTTTTATACAAAAATTTTAATATATACACATAAACAACTAATGATTTGAAAGTAGTTATTGTGTAAAAGGTGCGAAATGTATGCTATGTAACATTATTCTATTTCGTTTTCAGCACGAATTTTAACCGCAAGGGCTCGTTCTGAAGAGCGTATTTTCATACATGGTTTGGTTGCATTTTCACTGTGCTGCGCGTGCTGGGGCGGGCTGGATTTGCGTGAGCGGGGCCGGATCTCAGTGCGGTGATAGAGCTCGCAGAGCGGCTGTGCGGAAGTTCTTTCATCCGCGCTGCACAGAAGGGGCTTCGCCCTCGAGATTAGCTATTCTCGTCCCAAGTTTTCGCTTGGACGAAGGGAAAAGAGGTGGAACTTCTTCGCTCTGTGTTTTAACTTGAATTCTGTCGTTCGCTACAAGTTAGCGCCCATTACCGTCGGTGAGTATTTTCAGTGTGTTTTGCGTGTAAACACGAGCTGCAGTAATGTGAAGCTCATAGCGTATGTGCGGGAAGCTGCGCGGGGGTGGCGCTGCATGCTTGCGTGAGAGATCTCCCTACGACATTGGTCAGATATATTCTGTTCTGCCGTCTCTTAAGTAACAGATCCTTTAAAAACTTTATGTTGTCCCTAAGGATAATCATATGGTCAGATCTATAGTGTGTCGTCCAAGTAGTTTGATTTTACTTTTAAGTGCCGTATGATTGACAGCCACAACGCCCGCATGATTCTGTCTCTAAAATAGGCCAATGAGAACGCGGGGGCGGGATGTAAACCTCTCTGTTTGGCTTTATTATGGAGCTGAACGACGGAAACAAGTACTATTTAAACCAACTCTTACTAAGCTTATTGATTAGGCCTATATAAACACAATTTCTATCTTCTGCTGTCATCTGCTTTTTATGATTTTATTCTGAATGGTAAAACGTTTGCAAAGAAACTGAAGATTCCACTAGACTCCATTAATTATTATAGCCAATCAATTGAGTTTATTGACCAAGTTTGCCCTTATAAGGAATTATACCTGCTGAGTTGCTCAGATGGTTACAGATCAGTGCAAAATATTATTAATAACGAAGCAAGGAAAAATAATAACACCTAAAATATTTAAACCTATCATTAATAATAATTTAAAAATATTGTCTTACCTTCCACTTGTATTTGTTTTGTTGTTTCACATTGGCAAAAGGCTATTACGTAGTCTTTAGTGTTACATCCAATACTGACAAGACATCTAGTTGATTTGTGAGTTTGACTATTTTATCTAGATTTTTCTTTGGAGTCAGTAAGATTAAAAAAAGAAATTTACTTTAATCAGCAAGGATGGATTAAATTGATCAAAGGTAACAGTAAAGAAATGTATAATGTTACAATAGATTTCAAATTAATTATTTTCTTTTGAACTGTCTATTCATCAAAGAACCAAGAAAAAATGTATCATGGTTTCCACAAAAAAATATTAAGCAGCACATCTGTATTCATCCTTGATAATAATAAGAAATGTTTCTTGAACCCCCAAATCAGCACAAAAAAATGGAGTAATGGCTGCTGAAAATTTAGCTTTGCCATCACAGAAATATATTATATATTAAAATGAAAATAGTTCTTTAAAATTGTAATAATATTTCACAATATTACTGTTTTTATTGTGCTTTTAATTAAATAATTGCAGCCATACGCATTCACACATCTTTGGCTCTTTTGTGGTGTGTTTTGGGTGTCCTATCATGAGTGTTGTGTTTTTTTAAGGCAGCATGTTAAGTTAAAAATAGTCCAACTTTTAAAAATGTATCTTGAGATCTGTGCACTCCATTCCATTCCACAGTTAGACCAACTCTTGCAAATCAATACATAATAGCCATGATATTATCATGATAGTCATGGCCAAAGGGCGCCTGTGAGAGGGAAAAAAAGATTCCTCAAACCTGGGTCTTGCTGATATCTTACGTTTTTCTTTACGATTCCTTACAGGGCAATGGCAAGGCCAAGCCACAGTGAGCATGTCCTGCAGCAGCTCAACAACCAAAGGGAGTGGGGTTTCCTTTGTGACTGCTGCATTGCTATAGGGGACATTTATTTCAGGGCCCACAAGGCCGTGCTGGCAGCCTGCAGCTCTTACTTCAGAATGATGTTCATCCGGGATCAGCAGGGGACTGCACGTTTTGATCTCAGCAACATGCAGATCAGCGCAGAGTGCTTCGATCTCATCCTGCAGCTCATGTACCTTGGCCGAATCGTTGTGGATCACTATGAATTTGAAGAGCTGAAATCATCTATGGCCTACCTACAAATGTACTACATCCCCGACTCACTTGAGGACCTCAGAGATATCCGAACATCCAATCTGACACCCTCGTCTTCTGCATCGTCCTCTTCATCATCCAGCTCCTCATCCTCATCCAGCGTGGTGGGAAGCAAGATGATGTTCGGCGTTCGAATGTTTGAGCAGCAGCGACCAAGCCCTTCTGAGAATGAATGCGCACCCAAAGCCTCAACCACAACTGCTCGTCAGACCATTAATATCTCAACCGTCAGGCCTGCTGAAGATGTGGTCATACCACACCCTCCGCCACACTCGGAGACCGTTGTAGACCAGCCATGTGACTTAAGGAAGAGAACATCAGGCCGAAGCTCTGCCATTAAAGAACGTCCTCGATTTGGCCGTACATACACTTGCGACGATTGCGGTTTTGTGTTCAGCTGTGAAAAGCTTCTCATTGAACACATCCTCACATGCACCAATCGCAAAGCTTTTCAGACACCCAAAGTCAGCAAAAAGGTTTACGGCGATTCTGGCAAAGATGAGAGCTCAACCTCAGAGGGTACGGATGAGCACAGAACAGTTTGCAAGGGCGAAGAGGACTGGCCAGACCACAAGTCGGACACAGAGACGGTGATCAGGTCCGTCGCCACTGGCATGGACAGTGAAGTTGCCTTCTCCAGGAATATAACCATTAAAGTGGAGCGAGACGACGATTCTGAGACCGATTTGGAAACTATAAAAGTCATAAAGGTAGGGAACCATAATGTAGGGAGCTGCAAAGTTCGTACCAGAGCGTACAAAGACAATCTTGCAGACCAGATGAAGTTTGACAGCGAGGAAGAGGCCGGAGTATCCGCCATGGATGCTTTGGAGGGCCAAAGCACAGGGTTATCCTCTGATCCAAAGGTGCACCGGATCAAAGAGGAAAAGCAAGATGGCGCATGCATTCCATGTGAGTTGTGCGGAGCCCTGTTGACAAAGGAGGATCAGTCTGCTCATTACATCTCCAGCCACATGGGACATATCTGTGCCTGTGGAAGGTGCGGCCAAGTGCTCATTAAAGGCAGGCAGCTGCAGGAGCACGCAGAGCGATGTGGTGAACCCCAGGGGGCCGAGATGGACTCCCCAGGTGAGGATTCGCTTCTACTTGAAGATGCCGAGGCTATGGAGGAAAGCTTGCTGGAAGGAGCCGACCTGGGCTTTCGCTGTCCACTCTGTGGGACAATATTTGAAAGCGAAAGTCTTGCAGTGGCGCACACGTTGGCTTGTCCGGAGCAGGAGCTGTTCCGGCCCATTCTATTGGAAGACGGTGGTGAGCCAGACCATCGTCGCAAGCATTTCTGTGCGATTTGCGGCAAAGGCTTTTACCAAAGGTGTCATCTACGGGAGCATTACACTGTGCACACCAAGGAAAAGCAGTTCACCTGTCAGACCTGCGGGAAACAGTTTCTGCGCGAACGACAGCTGCGGTTGCACACTGACATGCACAAGGGAATGGCGCGGTACGTCTGCCCCGTGTGTGATCAGGGTACGTTTCTCAAACACGATCACGTGCGACACATGATCTCTCACCTGTCTGCCGGAGAGACTATCTGCCAGGTGTGTTTCCAGATTTTCCCCAGCGGCGAACATCTTGAGAAGCACATGGATGTGCATCTGTACATCTGTGGCGTTTGCGGAGAGAAGTTCCGTCTCCGCAAAGACATGCGGAGCCACTACAACTCCAAGCACACCAAGAGACATTGAGAGGCCTCTCTCTGCAACCCTTGAATCTTTGAAATAAGCCATACTGTAAATGTGAGAACAAATCTATGCACTTAGACGCCAATTGTAACTTTTACAACTGCACTTTCCATGTGTATGCAAATTCTGGATGTGATGCTAGATGTTTTTGGTGGGATATAGTGCCTCAAGCTTTTGTCTTCATTTTCTTATATTTCGAGGTGGATATCCAG